TGCCACCTTCTGGCAAAGTTTTTATGTCACTATTTTCAAGACTCTGACTTTTCTAAAACATTACCTCAGTTATTGGTCAAAGAGCACCCTGTTTAGAAAAGTTCAGGAGAGTTCCGCTCCGCCTATGCAAAAGCATGCAAAGGAGATTTAGCCAGAAAATAAACAATGCAGGGCCACAAACAACTGGAAGGCCTAAGGTAAGGACCAAAATCGACCCAATGGATCTGACAAAGGTTGCTGGCGACAACAGGGAGACCTTTCTTGAAGAGGTGGGGCAGAATCTGGAGAGTAAGCTGAGGTGTGAGTGGGGTGAAGTAACGGAGACAGAGTCATTGCCTCGGAGGAGCTGGTATGATCGTAAAAGATCCACTATTCTCTGGTTAATGATAGAGTCTTCACCCACCAACACCCAATTTGGCCACTTCATTTCTGCCCTCTCCCCTTGGCTTCTCAAGCTGCAGCTCTGTTGCTTTTCCTCTGACCAGCAAGCCTCTTCTCTTGGATAGCTTCCCTTTATCCTTCGAGTTTCAGCTGAAATGTGACCTCTTCAGAGAAGGCGTTTCCATCTCCTGGTTTAGGCCAAACCCTTTAAAAGTGCTTAGCATTTTCAGTTGTAATTTAAATAGTTAATTGTTTCTGTCTTCCCAGCTGTAGTATAAACTTGAGAAAAAGGCCTTCATTGTTCCAGAACCTGCTCACTCAGTTAATGGGATGTGGATCTTTTAAAAATGTAAAAGTCATCCTGGAGGCAATTTGTTGGAAAACTGAATAGAGGAGGTAAAACCAGGCCTCCGGGGCTCCCTTTAATAGCAGAGACACTTGATGATGAGAACACAGGACACTAAGAGTGCAGAGGAATTTGGAAGTAGGAACTTGGAGGTGGCAAGTTGGGAGTCTGGTAGCTTTACCCCTAAACAGTTTGCTTCCAGTGAAGTGAAGTTGCATGCACTTACACTATAAGACTTTTTTCTGTAGTCCTCTGCTAACATTGCCTTCTATTCCTTCTATTTAAAAAGAGAATGTATCAGCTTTTCCAGGATCACATAAAGTTAGGTAAAACTCTGAATTTCTAAACTACTGCAAAGATAAAGATAAAATACCTGCAACCTTCTGTTTAGAATTCAAACATTAAGCCAAGTTTAAAGGAAAGTGTGGTGCTTTGTTTTGACCACAGATGTGTTCTGTTGACTTCCCGAATAACTTCTGAATGAACCCATCTCAAAACAGAAGAGCAAGGATGTTATTATACCAAGATATCCTTCACAGGGAAAAAACTGGCAGTTGTAGACTGCTGGTTAAGGTCACAGAACTACTCTTTTAAATGATGCTCAGATGTTAAATGTTGATAATGCAGCAGCTTTTTTGGACAGAGTTAGAACATTCAGGTGAAGGTTTGATTTCTGGATAAAGGCAGACATGTTATATTATACTGGAGATTCCATTGCATTTCACTACAGCTTTAAGAGAGAGAAATTAGTAAAAAGCAAGCTCTAACGTCAGGAGCTCTTCCACAGAGACTCTGGCTTACCTCTTAATAAGCCTTGAGTTTTTATCCTAATTCCCATGTGTTTATTAACATTCATTCTAAAAACGCATTTGTTCATCTAAATCTGTTTTATAAAGGTTCTAAAAGGCAAAACACTGGTCAGTCACAATCATTTACTTGGACTTTAAATAGTCAAATATTTACCAAGCACTCCCCACAGTATTAGAATCTCTGTAGGGGTATGAAGTATTAAGCCTATGTCACTTGACTCAGGATTTTTGTTCTACTTTAGAACATTTTGTTTTTTAAGATTTTTTTTTTTTTTGATGTGGACCATTTTTAAAGTCTTTATTGAATTTGTTACAATACTGCTTCTGTTTTATGTTTTGGTTTTTTGGCTGTGAGGCATGTGGGATCTTAGCTCCCTGACCAGGGATTGAACCGACACCCCCTAAATTGGAAGGCAAAGTCTTAACCACTGGACTAGCAGGGAAGTCCCTAGAACATTTCATTTTATTCTAAGGAGTAAGGATAAAAAATAGGCATTTGTGGATAAAAAACAGGCATTTGTCTTGGTTAGGGTCCTGGTTTATAAGAATGTCACCTTAAGTTTATATATAGTTTACAGATGAGAATATTTCAAGTCATGTAACTTTCCCAGAGATGTGTTTCACAGGCGCACCAACAAGGACAGAAGCATTTTAGTTTAGTATTTTTGTTTCTCTGTTTGTTTTTTTTAAGTGCATGGCAAGATAACTACTTCTGCGTAATCCTTCAGTGTATATGTTACCAGAATTTTACAAACCAGCTGTTACGGAACAGTGGCTTAGTTAGTACACGTTAAGTGTTGCCCTCTGAGCTGAAATAGTACACAAACATACAAACAAACATTTAAATACACGAGATAAGCCATTTCCCCAACTTTCTAACACTAATGAACATTTTCAGTCTAAGCTAACTATGTGAAAAAATGTTAATATAACCCACAGTTAATGGAAACTTTAAAATGTATATATTTGTTTTCAAACTTATTTCAAAGACAAGTGTTAGAAGTTGGTTGAGTGTCCTATAAATTATCACTTATTACTTATAATAATCTTTTAGGCTAAAATACATAGTGGGAATAGACCAATTCCCCCTGGACCTTAAAGGACCCTGAAATCACAATTCTCTTACACCATTCCAAGTTCTACTATGAACAGATAGCCACCTATTACCAGTTAAAACAATCAGGCTAGTTATCTAGTTATTTAATGACAGCATACTGACTTAACAGATAATGGTTTGTTTCTCAAATTTTATCATCACACAAAGGTATACTATGTGTGGTGATTAAGATAATTCATGAAATCTAATCCAAAATTGCTTTAGGGAATCTTCATCTGCAGTCCTACCTGCAGAAAAAAAGATCAAATGAATCATCACTCCTGTCTGCTCACCATCTGAGAGTATAGAGGAGGGTTGTGAATCAAACAGAGTTTATATAAACCTATTAAATATTGGACTACCTGCTGGTTTAATTTTGGATGAAGCCAAAAGACCAAGGTTGGGGGTTGATATCTGTTTGATGCTTATTACACAGGTTTTGTTTGTTTTATAAATAACTGTGACACCTCTAGATTATTCCTTGGAAGAGGTGTCTGTGATCCCAAGGGAAGTCAACAGTAATAAAGCATGACTGCTTGAAGAAATAGCTAAAGTACACACCTCCTGAACAAATGGCCTTTTGATGCCTCTGTACAGGAGATGAAATCATGATTTTTTAAATTTACAATGACATCTCATTCCACGAAACGTTGAATTTATAAGGCAAACCACCATGCTTAATCCACAGTTTACAAGCTGATTCCTTAGGGATCCAACAGGGGATGAAGGGAAAACTGAAAGCAGTTTTAAAAGTTGAACTAACAGTATTTTATTTCTCAGCAACTCTAGGCACACTGATTAAACATGAGATGAATAAAGGCTAATAAGCAAGAGAGAATATCAACCCTAAGACTAAGACACAGAGGGAGGCTGGACAAGGACTTAGATTTATAAAGCTATTTTCATACCCTTCTTCAGTTACCTTTTCAGGGTAGAAAGTTTAATCTTAGTGATTAGGTAGGAGAATATCACACAGCATTCGAGTTGGAGATCTTAACCTGAATGCAAACCAGGACCTGCCCTCAGTGACTGCCAGTGGCACCCGGAGTCCACAGCTGGCCGGGACGCAGGCACTCCAGCTCACAGGCTGCTGGCCTGGAGAAGCTTCAGAACTCCTCTGGGCCCCAGTTTCTTCTCTGTAAACAAGGGAGTTAGTTAGTTATGTCCAATGACCTGAGGCCCCTGCATCTCAAATCCCATGACTCAAAATGTATTTTAATAAGCATCACCACCCACCTACCCTTTAGAGAGCCTCACTAAAGGTCATTAGTGTGACTTTGCCAGACATTCACAAGCCCGGCAAAAGCCTATTTACCTTAAAATGTTAAGAACCAACTCAGTCAAACCTGACGTCACTATTAATGTAAATTATGATTAGTCGTTTTCAGATTAACTTTTGATTTTTAAATCAGTTTTGTGATAGTCCTTTACCACATGCTAAATGTAAACTGACACAAACAACTATTGCATTTCTCTTGACTTTCAAATCTCTCCAAATTTGTAATGATGTATATATCCTTCAACATCAACTTTCTCTTCTTTTCTTCTAGTAGCGAAGTAGGCAGTTCTCCCCACAGTACTGTGCTGCCCTCACTGTTCTGCGGCAGGCAGCCAGGGTCAGCTCTGCTTTGGCCCCTGCTGTGTCAAAAGTCTAATCCACAAAAGTCTAAGGACTCGTTACATGAGATTTTGCTTTGGCCACACATATTAAGCAAAGCAAGTATACATCACAAGTATTCAAATTACAAGTCACTTAAAAGCATTTTGTACATTAATGACAAGGGTTATTATACAAGTAATCTTTTAAAAAATTATCGCACAGAACACCTTTGTGTTTAGACTTGTTTAACACCGTTGCTAGTGATGTTTGTGTTAACACTCAGTGCTCTAGGCCACTGATTGTCAGAACCAGAGGTGGGTACAAGAAGATAAACCAAAAATCATTCAGTGCCCACCAAGAAGAAATAACAGGGGCTGGTACCCGTCACTCAGCACAGCATGTGGAGAAGAGAATGCCTCCAGAGGGGACTGAGGACAAGGAGCTCTGCAAGTGCGGTGGGCCTCCTTCACGTCAGAAGTTACTTCCACAGTAGAACTACTGCTGCCGTACTTGAAGGAACCTGTGTTCTATTGCTGGTGTTGATCTTCTCATGAAATACCTATTAGCCAACAAATTTCGACAATTTTGACATCTCAATACAGACACTTCAGAACTGTCTCAAAGACAATCTCATTTTCCTACATAGTAAATACAAACTAAAACTCCACAATAATCATCTTTAGATATTTTACTTAGTACATTTCACAGTATTCAATCCCTCATGAATATTTTGTAGTGATCTCTGTTCAATTCTGACACAAAGTGTGTGATTCCAGTTTGATTCAGAGTGTGTGATTCCTCTTTTCTCGCCGTTCTAGTAAATTTATTGTGCCTCCTTTCTGATTTTCAGCGTTAAGAACTAAAAAAGGAAAACAACAACAACATAATGTTCTAGTATTAAACATTTTGAGAAACCCAGCCCAGGCAGGTCCCATTGGACATAAATGTCTAGAAGCTGTGTCATAAAGAGGACTGTATCTCCCACAGTAACATTACAATGTGGAATTGCACTGCTAATCAAGGACAAGATAGCTAAACCATCTAAAAACTCCGTAATTGTGTGAAAGAGTGAAATCACATCCTGTCAAATGGACAATATAAAATGTACTCTCATGGAACTTTTGACATGATCATGAACCTCGTGGGTTGCCTGAATCTCTGTTCCTACACCTCTAGCCGCAAGCACACTGCCTCCTAAAAGCCATTCGCAACTTAGGTCAGCTTTCGTGACGCCAAAGCTCTCATTACAGAGCTGATGTCTAGACATGGCTTCCAGCCTCCTTACTCTATCCTTTGATACACAAAGGACATAAAAAGACACATCACAAATAAAACCTAAAAGCAAGATCCTCATTTACAACTACTGCACGTTAAATGGTTGACAATTTTATTAAATAAACGACTGCCTTAAGTTCTCTAATAAAGTTGGAGCTAATGCCTCTTTCTTCTAATTCTCCCTGGAGCAAGCAGGGTCAAACTATGTTGATGACATAATTTTAAAATGATTTCAACTTAAAATTCTTTCTTAAAAGAGCTGACAGAACATTTAGCTTCTTTCCTTTGTCAAACTCCTCAATTTGTTTAAAGTCTTAGCAGGTACAAGGTCAAATCCTTACAAGGACACCTGGGTATAAGGGATGAATGATCCCAAGGCTTCACTGCAAAGTCACACATCTAACTTGTATCTGTTCAAAATTCTGACTCCTAATGTGTTCAACTTTTGCATTAAAAAAAAATTACCTAAAGAGTCTCTGAAAATAATTTAAAAATCAACTTAAGACTTCCAATTTTAGAAACCCCAAACAACCAACTGTAGTGAGTGACATGCTGGATAAAATATGAAAGATATTTTTTAAGGATGCATTGTTAAACAGCTTTCTACCAAACAACTGGCCAGAACACTTCAAAAATTATCAGTGATATAAATGATAAAGACAGAAGGTTCCAGGTTAAAAGACACTAAGTACAATGCTAAATGCAGTGTATGATTCTAGATTAGATCTTGGACCAGAAAAGGGATATTAGTTGGACAATTCAAGAAATTTGAATAATGTCTATAGATACAGCATTATATCAGTATTAATTTCTTCATTTTGATAATTGTACTGTGGTTACATAAGATATTAACATTTGGGGGACCTGGATGGAGGGATATATGGAAATTCTTACTAGTTTTTTTTAACTCTAAATTATTTCAAAATGAAAAGTGAAAAAAAATTTTAATTAAACTAAACATGAAAATGCATTGCCTATGAATGACACTAAAAGGAGGAATCTGAGGCCAAAACTGAAGTGGGAGTATCAACTCCTGAAGGTAATAAGCATCAATGCCAGCTTTTTCCCTGAGGACTTCTGCTGAAGCCTGAAGACTCTCGGCTTCTCCCTTCACAACTTCAAAAGGTGCAGGAGGACAAGCCCTAAAGACAAGGGCTCCCGTCAAGGTGGGGAGTCAAGAAGCGGATGCCCATATAAAGCTGAAACCCCAAAGGTTCACATCCTTGGCTTAAAGGTAACAGGAAATAAACTTGCAATGAAAGGGGGACAGCAAGAGAGCCTAGTGTGTGGAGTGCGGGATTCTTAACTGCATGAGATAATTGTACAGGTATATACTTTGAACTCACATTTTTCCATGTGGTCCAAAAAAAAAAAAAAATCCCTGAAGACGACAATCTACTTTACTGAAGGGGTTGTGAGTTTGTAGTTCCCTCCTTGAGACTGGCAGAGGCAAACGACCTTCTCTAATCCAATACAACTGTGACTCAGTCCTCAAAGACTTCCCACAGATAAAGTTCCAAGGAAAGCAGTAGCTCACAGTTAAGCACAAAACACAACAAGAAAACAAGGGATCGAGGAGAGCCTGCAGAAACAAAATAGAAACACCCACAAAGTTTTTCAGATATTGCAACTGGAAAATATGAAACAACCCTGATAGAGAAATAAAAGATGTTTGAAAACATGAGCAAGGAATAAGGGCCCATAAAGAATGGCCAAGTAGAAAGTTTAGAAATGAAAAATTAAAGAACAGATAAGGCATAGCTGAAGGAAAAATTTTTGAACTGGAAGATATTCTGAGGAAATAATTCTCAACACATCAGAAAGGCAGAAATGCAAAATATGAAAAAGAGGGTAAGACACAAATAGACTGAGAAGATCTAATATACTTCTAATCTGAATTCAAGAAGGAATCAAAAATAAAAAGCATTATTCAAAGAGATGTTGGCAGGGATTTTCCAGAGGAACTCAACTTGCCACATACGTTTTTTAAAAAAGCTGTTAAGAGTAATGTGGTACACTGCAAATTAAGAGACAAACCAATGGAACAAAAATAGAAAATCAAAAATTAGGACCAAGTACATATAAAAATTTAGTGTTTGATGACGGTAGCACCTCAAATCACTAACTTTGAGACGGTGAATTAAGATGGTGTTGGGCCAATTGGAAACACCTTTGGAAAACGAAAATTGGACCCACACCGTGTGCCATTCACCTGAATACATCTGAAACGATTCAAATGAATCAAGGGATCTAAATGTAAAATAAGAAAGCAGAGGAGGATTCTGGAAAGATGGTAGAAACAGTGGTGTAGTTTTTGAATCTCTCAGAGTCCCTACATAAAGCAACTAAATTTAAAAACTCAAAAACTGGAGAACATTTAGAACAAAACTAGATGACAAGGAGTCCCGCAGACCCCCCAAATACAAACGGTTAAAAACAAATCATGGACAGCGACCCATAGGATAGGGGCATCGAAAGAAAACAGAGGGAAGCAATGGAGCATCAGATGGACCTAAGAACAACAAGCCCTAACAGCCAACAGGTTTACACCAGAAAGTACCTGGGCCAGTGGGAGACCTGCAGGTGGAAGTGGCAGTGTTTCTGCTACTCCCACAGCAAGTGACCACAGAGTGTCCATGGTAAAGACAAAGGAGCTGGTGGAGGCTCCCTCTGAAACAGGCTCCTTCCTGGGTCCTTCCTAGGTAGAGCCCCTCATAGAGAAAAAGCACTGTGTGGAGTGAAGCAGTGGCTGAGCAGGACAGGGACAAAAGAACCAAAAGGTTCAGATGAAAGTGGGGAAGACCCCACTGGCCAAAGAAGATGGGACAATGTGAACTTCAAAAAGGATAATAAATGCAACTGAGTGAAACCTGTCAGAAAGGTTTAAATCCTCAAGTTTATATTTTTTAAATGGTCACCTTCAGAAGATGAGAGGAAATAATTCCTTACTGTGAAAATTACCAATGCTTAGGAGAAGCATTTATCCTGCCTATGCTATATGAACAATACCACTGACATCTGTTTATAAAATATTCCAATTAAGAAATGAAATAGGAACAGTTGAATTAAAATACCACCTAGATATCAGCTGGTGATCTGCAGGAAATAGGGAAGAAAGAAGAATACACCACACCGAACCATGAATACACATTCAGCACTATCCAGATGGTGGGAAATTCCAGGTCAAACAGCTATGGCTCTTTAACAGACTGTAAACAAAAAAAGAGAAAGGAATGGAGGGGGAACCTGGAGACTCAGAGACTTAAAGACATCAAATTTAAGAAAACAGGCAAGACTAAACTATGGTGTCCAGGGATGCCCACTTGAGTGACAAACCCATAAAGAAATTCAAGAAAATGCCGAATGGAAAGGTCAGGCAGGATAGGCATTTCTAGTACAGGGAGGGAAGGTGCTGGGACAGGACAAGCAACAGAGAAGGAGCCTCAGGAGGACCCCCCAAGTTCTATTTCTTGACCAGGGAGGCAGGGGGCAGTTACAACGTGTTTACCTTCTAAAAACTCACTTGTTACGTGTGGTTTTGTGAATCTGTTTTATTTCACAATGGAACCAAAAGAAAAATTTGACAGCATACTGAACAAAAACATGGGTGAATTCCTTTCAAGTCTAGATGATAAAACTATGACTCAATATCTAGAGGCAATAAAAGAAAAGACAAAAATTTTTGAAACTTTCACATGGCAAAAAACATAAGCAAAACCAAGACACACTGCCAGGCAGTATTTGCAGCTTAAGTCACAGATAAAGGCCAACCTCCCCAGCATATAAAAAGCTCTTAGAAACAGAAAGAAACACCAAGAGTCTGATGGAAAAATGAATTTCGAAAAAGGAAACCTTGAGTCCACAGTGATACTAAAACAAGGGGGGAAGACAGAGAGAGAGAGAGAGAGAGAGAGAGAGAGAGAGAGAGAGTGTGTGTGTATATGTGTGTGCACGCGCGCACGCTCACATGTGTACACGTCAGGGGTGGGGGGTCCTTAAAGAACGGCAGTTAATAAATGTGAGGAGTTATTATTTAGACAACGGTTTTCAATGGATGGTAAAGCCATACTATTTCAAAGCATCCCCCTCTAGACAATGTATTACACAGGGACTATGGACCTTTGCAACGGAGAGACCTGGTGGGCACCACCTTAACCAAGGATCAACCTGCCATTCCGTGCCTCCTGGTGGGAAGCCAGAGGAACACAACTGCACCTATAGAATGTTCAACCTGAATCCAGTCACAAGAGGCAGACAGATCCAGAATCTGATCGTCTGCTGGCCTGGACTCCTCAAAGATTCAAAATAACAATAACACAAAGTGCTACTATAAACAGCTGCCTGGAAGCTGTGTGTGTGTATCAGGGCTTTTCAACTGGTGCTGTGGAGTAACGAAGCAGTGAACTATCATTTTGCTGGGAAATCCCTAAATGTCACTGAAGACAAATCCTCACTGATTCCTGAGGGCTTGAGCCCCACATCATATATGCAGACTTTCTGACAGGTCTTCATCGTGGCCTTTTCAACCCTTCACCTCCCTCCACTGCCCCTACACTCAAAGGCTTCTGAAGAAAACAGAGTCTTCTAATGATGGATTATTTACACTATTATTGTTGGGATTTGGTGTACAGTCACTGCAAAAGTGAAGGACCACAAAACAGAAATGAATGAAATGACCCCACCACCACTGTTAATTACCATTTCCGTTTCTGTCATTCCCCGCAAGGGCTGCCTGCTTGTCTGTTTCAGATTCTGCCTCATTTTCATCCATGTTGTAGTCATCCTCTGCTCCCAGTTTTTGCTGGTTTCTCCCTATAAAATTAGCAGAGCCATAAAACATAAGCTACATCATTTTCTCTCTCGATGCCATAGGAACACCAGAGCCCAGGTACTGGGGTTGTCCCAGTCCTGGTTTAACAATCAGATCTTTTTGCTTCCTCTCAGGAAATGACAGGGACGTTATGTGCTTGCTTCCAGGGCAAATACCATGCAGGAGTTCTCTACTTTTGTATGCCCCACTCCAATTCTGAATCTATACAAAATATGGCCCTAAATAGAGGGCTATAACCCAGGCTGGAAACGGGGTAACTAGCTCACCAAACCAAACTCCCAGTTTTTTAAAGAGACAATCAACTCAAGGTTAAAGGAAGGCACCACTGTTTTCAGAAACTATGGGTTGCTGGTTAATGGCAGCCATCTCCTTAGAAGGGTTCACTGCCCCAAGAGAAGGAAATGGAGTGGCTACTGTGAGCCAAAGGATAAAATTTTCACAGAATTAGATCATTCATCACCGCATTCATCCCTGAAGAGAAGAGCAACCAGAAAAGAAGATTGGGACAGAATGCATTCAAGAAACATACTCACAGGGTTTAATGTAAACATTTTATATCTGTATATAGGTATAAATAAAATCTTTTGTTAAAAAAGTGTGCCTGGGGCTTCCCTGGTGGCGCAGTGGTTGAGAGTCCACCTGCCGATGCAGGGGACACGGGTTTGCACCCCGGTCCAGGAGGATCCCACATGCCACGGAGCGGCTGGGCCCACGAGCCATGGCCGATGAGCCTGCGCGTCCGGAGCCTGTGCTCCTCAACGGGAGAAGCCACAAGTGAGAGGCCCGCGTACCGCAAAAAAAAAAAAAAAAGTGTGCCTGGAAAACGCAGCTCTAGTTCTATTTCCCTGCACTCACTGCCTGAAGTGGAAACAAAGCCCAGGCCTGTGTGCCCTGTAGCTTTATTCTACTGATCAGACCATTACTGCTGACCTAGGACGAGGTGTGACATACAGCCCCAGCAGTATCTCAGGCCTACTGGTAGCGGTTGCACTTGACGACCAACTACTGAATGGTCTGAAACTTGAGTGCCAATCTGATCAGCCACCAGAGTTTACCTTTTTCTTTTTTTCCCCAAATTCTTTAACTGAAAACTTGTGAGAACACACTCGTCAGAAGCTTGAGTGAAAATTAAGATTTAAATGGAATCAGGGTTACTTCTGCAAATAAGTACATTCCCCAACTTCTGTCACTCGATCAGGCTCAGAACACAGGTGTCTTCTGTCTAAGCACTCCTGGCTTAGCTAGGATTGAAATTTTCCCCATCTTTCAGGGACCAAAATACATCCCAGAATATTCTGCTAATCTCAGTTTCCCACACTTTTCTTTAAGAAAGAGAAAAGTCAACCAAACCAGAAAGGTGGGAGTCCCACGTCACTTTTCTGCAAGGCCCAAACGTGCATGAAACTCCGTCTAGCCAATCCTTCCGTCCCTCCTTCCTCCATCTGCTCGCCAGGCACTGCTGGTGATGCCGCATGAGGAAGTGCAGCAACAAAGGTGAGGCGTGGGGTCCACCTGGCAGGAGACCTATGTGTGCTCGATGCTCAGCTCCCGTCCCAAGGTCTTCCACCTGGAAAGCCCCCTAGGCTCCCTGTGAATATTATTTCTAAAAGTTCCAAGTGCTGGGAGTGACGGCTTTTCTGTCCTGCCTCCTGCTGGACAGCGCATACAAAACAGACAAAACGAACCACCAAACGGTGACCTGGTGTTTGGGAATCTTCATGGCTGCCCATCCCGCGTCAGGAAGGAGGCTGAGGATGCGGGTGCCGGGTGGACAATCTCACCCACCTTCCTCATCGGCATCCCGCTCCTCCTCTTGCCCGTCGGGGATGACGAGCTGGTCCCGCTCAAGGCTCTCCATCTCCTGATTCTCCTGGCTTGCCAATAGGGCAGCTGGCACCTGTGGGGTTTGGCCCAGTTCTCCGGGTTCTCCACGGCCTTTTCCACCCACACGTCTGTCTTCTTCCACATTCTGCTCTCGCCCCGGCTCCTTCGACAGCCCCAGGCCGTTACTCTGAAGCTCCTCTTTGCTGACGACCTGAATCTCCTTGGTTCCCTCTGTGCACAGAACATAGTTAGCTGTGACCTCACTAGCAATTAATTAAGACAAAACCAGAAACCCTCGTACCACTCAATTCCCAGAGCCTTCCCAAGGACTGTGGACCGATGGGGCAGGTGGTTCATTTCTTTTGTGGCCTCAGCAGACTCCAGGCCTCTCTATGCCTGCAGCTCATCTTCAGAACCACCAGAAAGAGGAAATGGCTTAGAAAAAAAAATTCAGACTAAGTGATCTGGCTCACAGAGACACCCTGCGAGTGGAGGAGGCTGCACTGCTGAGGTTACCTGATCGTCCTATTTAAGACGAGTGCTTGGGAGCCAACGACAGCTGCCTAGGACTCAGCCACGTCCCCTTAATCCCACAGTCCCACAACTGTCCTGAATAAAGGCTCTGCCTGGACCTTCCTTTACAGAGCTGCCAAAGAACTAGGCACTTAGTTTACAATGTGAGACATCAGTAAGGCAGAGAAAAAGCCCGTGGCCCCAAGTCCAGGTGCCAGAGAGACACTCACCTGCCACCTGCAGCCCCATTACCGAGTCCCCACCAGCCTCCAGCAGCACACTCTGCCCTGTGTATTTGTGTGGACTGGAGGGCATGACCCACTGCTATGCTTTCTATTGGCACGGGACCCTGAAGAGGGCTTAAACGTGTCATTGCCAAGCTTTACTTACCTTTCTCGCCTTGTTTCTTCAAATCCAAAGCCACCTCAGAACTGGGGACTGGTGTCTGGGGCTCGCTGTTGCTGAGCATGTTCCCTCTTGCTTGTGGCACCTCTGCCTGGGACAGGCCTGCTTCCTGCGGCCTGGGCTGGGGCTCACTGGGGGCTTGGAGCTGAAACAGGAGCACAGGCAGCCAGGGGCTCCATGACCATAAACCTTCAACAACGCTGAGCAATGCAATGGACCCACTACACCTTTCTGATGAATACGAACATGGAAACCCTGAGGAATGCCATACTCTACCCCAGTCATGCCCTACCACCTGGCATAAAGCAGAAGATCTGAGGCTGGGTCCACATCTCCCAGAATTACCTTTTAATAATGTATTAACAAGCAGAAGATCAATAAGGAAAGAGAGGACTTGAACAACATGACAAACCACCTGAACAGTCATCTGTAGAGCACCCAACCCAACTAGAGCAAAATACATTCTTCTCCAGGACAGACAGATGCTAGGCCACAAAACAAACCTCAACAGGTTTTAAATGTTGAAATCATACAATGTATGGTCTCCAGTCACAATGGAATGAAATTATAAATCAATGACAGGAATGAAATTTTTTGAGAAATTCACAAATATGTGGAAATTAGATAACATACTCCTAAATAACCAATGGGCCAAAGAAATCACAAGGAAAATTAGAAAATACCTTAGAGAAAAATGAAAAACAAAACACATCAAACTTCTGGAAGGCAGTTAAAGCAGTACTAAGAGGGACATTTACAGGCCTATCTCAAGGAAAAAGATACATCTCAAATTAACAACCTAATCTCTCACCTTAAGATACTTGAAAAAGGAGAGCAAACTAAACCTAAAGCAAGGAGGCACATAATAAAGATTAGATCAGGAATTAATGACATATGGGAAAGAAAAGAAAGAAAATCAGTGAAACCCAAAGTTAGTTCTTTGAAAGATGAAAAAAATTGACAATGCTTTACCTAGATGAACTGAGAATAAAAAAAACTCAAATTACTAAAATCAAAAATGAAAGAGGATAACACTACCAACCTTACACAAAAAAGTTTTATGATAAGGAAATACTAAGAACAATTGTTTGCCAACAAGTTTGATAACTTAGCTGAAACAGACAAGTTCCTAGGAAAACACACCCTCTACCAAAACTGATTCAAGAAGAAGTAGAAAATCTGAGCAGACTTATAACAAGAGACTGAAGTAGAAATTTAAAAATCCCGCCCCACAAAAGCCCAGTTCCAGATGGCTTCACTGGTGACTTCTACCAAACGTTTAATTCTAAATCTTCACAAACTCTTCCAAAAAACAGAAGAGGAAAGAATACTTCCCAACTCATTCTATGAGCCCAGTAATTACCATGATACCAAAGCCAGAGAAAAACAAGAAAATAAAACTGTAGACCTAATAATGAATATAGACCCCCAAATCATCAACAAAGTTCTAGCAAGTCAAATCAAGCAACATACAAAAGGATTATACACCATGGCCAAGTAGGATTTCTCCCAGCAATGCAAGGTTAGTTTAACATCTAAAAAATCAATTAATGTAATACCATGTCAATAGCATAAAGGACAAAAACACATGATCATCTCAATGCAGGAAAAACATTGGCAAAATCCAACAGCTCTTCTTGATAAAAACACTCAACAAATTAAGAATAGAGGGGAGGGCTGCCCTGGTGGCGCAGTGGTTGGGAGTCCGCCTGCCGATGCAGGGGACACGGGTTCGTGCCCCGGTCCAGGAGGATCCCACATGCTGTGGAGCGGCTGGGCCCGTGAGCCATGGCCTCTGGGCCTGTGCGTCCAGAGCCTGTGCTCCGCGGCGGGAGAGGCTGCAGCAGTGAGAGGCCCGCGTACCGCAAAAAAATAAGGATAGAGGGGAACTACCTCAACTTGATAATGTGCATCTATGAAAAATATATAGGCATACTTGAAGACATCGCAGGTTTGGTTCCAGACCACTGCAATAAAGTGAATATCGCAAATAAAGAGAGTAATGCCAATTTTTTGGTTTCCCAGTGCCTATAAAAGTTATGTTTACACTATACTGTAGTCCATTAAGTATGCAATAGCATTATGTCCAAAAAATGTACTACCTTAATTAAAAAATACTTTATTGCTTAAAAAAGGCCAAAACAATTACAATAGTAACATCAAAGACCCCTGATCACAGATTACCGTAACAAACGTAATAATGAAAAAGGTTGAAATATTATGAGAATTACCAAAATGTGACACAGAGACATGAAGTGAGCAAACTGGAAAACATGGAGCCAGTATTATTTGCTCAACACAGGGTTACCACAATCCTTCAATTTGTAAAAAAACACAAATATCTGTGAAGCACAATAAAACGAGGTATGCCTGCACAGCTAATATCAGACTTAATGGTGAAAGACTTAATGCTTTCCCTCTGTGATCAAGGACAAGACAAAGATGTCTATCCTCACCACTCTATTTAACATTATACTGGAGGTTCTAGGCAGGGATATTAAGCAATAAGAAGAAATAAAAGGCATCCAGATCGGAAAGGAAGATGTAAAACCATTTTTAGATGACATAATCCTAATAAAGAAAATCCTAAGAAATCAAAAAAAAATACTATTCAAACTAATAAACAAGTTCAGCAAGGTTGAAAGATACAAGATCAATATAAAAAATGAATTGTATTTCTACACACTAGCAATAAGCAGTTCGAAAATAAAATTAAGAAAACAATTCCATTTATAATAGCATCAAAAAATACTTAGAAATAAATTGTACAAAAGAAGTGCAAGACTTCTGAAAATTACAAAATATTATTCAAAAAGACTTTTAAAGGACTTAAGTGGAAAGACACCCCACATTCACACAACAGAAGACTGGATGTTGTTAAGATGGCAACATTTCCCAAACTGACGTACAGACAATGTAATCTCTGTCAAAATCCCACCTGGCTTTGTTGAAGACATTGACAAGCGGATCCAAAAATTCATACAGAAAGTCAACCAGTGCAGAATAGCCAAAACAATCTTGAAAAAGAAGAACAAAGTTGGAGCAGTTAAAGCTGCTTATTTCAAAGCTTACTACAAAGATACAGTAATCAAGACTGTGTAGTATGGACATAAGGACAGAAAAAGAGATCAATGGAACAGAACCAAGAGTCTAAAAATAAACCCTCATATTTACAGTAAACTGATTTTTTTGACAAGGATGCCAAGGCAACTCAGTGGGGAAAAGAATAGTTTTTTTTCAACAGATGGTGTTGAGACAACTGGATATCCACATGCAAAATAATAAAGTTGGACCATTAGCTCACACCATATACAAAAATTAAATTAACTCAAAATGAATCATAGGACTAAATGTAAGAACTAAATACTAACGAGTATAAAAGTCTCAGAAGAAAATACAGGAATAAATCTTCAGGATGCTGGATTAGGCAAAGCGGTTTTAGACATGATACCAACAGAACAAGCAACAAAAGAAAAAATAAACTAGACATAATGAAAATTAAAAACTTTTTTGTGCTTCAATGAACACTATCAAGAAAGTGAAAAGAATGGGAAAAAATATGTGCAAATCATATATCCAATATCTTTATATGAATATATAAAGAACTCTTACAACTAAATAATAAAAATAACTCAATTTCAAAATGGACAAAGGATACAAACAGACATTTCTCCAAAGAGGATATACCAACAGCCAATACAGCATATGAAAAGATGCTCAAAATCATCAGTTATTAGGGAAATGCAAATCAAAACCACAATGAGATACCACTGCACACCTACTAGGATGGTTATAGTGAAAAAGACAGATAATAACAAGAGTTGGCAAGGATGTAAAGAAACTGGTACCCCCATAAACTGCTGGTAGGAATGTCAAAGAGTATGATCACTTTCAGACACAGTATGGCAGTTTCTCAATACACTAAGGAGAGTTGAGTTACCATATGACCCAGCAATGCTACTCCTAGGTATACAGTATACCTAAGAGAAATGAAAGCTTACATTCACACAAAAATGTGTGCATGAATGTTCACAGCAGCATTATTCACAGTAGCCAAAAAGTGGAAATAACCCAAATGCCCATCAACTGACCAATGAATAAACAAAATGTGGTATAGCCATACAATGGAATATTATTCAGCCATAAAAAGGAAGTACTCATACATGCTACAACATGGATGAATCCTGAAAGCATTATGCTATGTGAAAACCAGTATGATTCCACTGATATGAAATATCCAGATAAGGCAAATCTGCAGAGAAAATAGATCAGAGGTTGTCTCAGGCTCCAGAGACTGGGGGTAAAAGGGGAGTGAGCTAATGGGTATGGGATTTCTTTTGGGGTAATGAAAATGTTCTAAAATTGTCTGTGATGATGACTGCACAACTTTGTGAATATACTAAAACCCACTGAATTATAAATAGTATATAGGTGAACTATATGGTAGCTGAATTATATCTCAATAAAAGTGCTATATTTAAAACAAACCAACATCTCCAGAAGGCTGTGAGCAGCATTTTCATGGGCTGTGCTTTCACAAGCAGCAGCCTGATAGCACGTGCTCTGATCAGCTCCATCACTGACCGGGTACTATGACCTTGGGACAGTTTCTAGCCACCTCCATGGGCCTCAGAGCCCTCCAAACAAGAAAACAACAACAACTCTCTCCCAGGGTGGCTGTGAGCTTTAAATGAAGCAATCGCCTTATGGCCCAGAGCACGGGGACCAGGTCTGGAGGCCAGCATGCTCCGCCAGAGACCCTGCGTCTCGGGACCAGGCTGTTGTGTGTCAGGGAACTAGAGCGAGTCAGAGAGCAGATGAAGGAAGAAAATGCCTGAAGAGAGGGTAGGAAGACCTTTGGGAGATCCTCGGCAGAAAAAAGCCAGGATTACCTGCTGGCTTTGGCCCTTTTGTTCACTCAGGTCTCTGGAAGCTACAGCCTCATTTCCCTTTTTGGTGACTTCTTCTATTCGCTCTTCACACTGCTCCTTCACCTCTTTCATCTGATTGATGCACTGAGTCCTGTGAAGGTGAAAGCAAGCAAATGAAAGGACAGCTATTTACAGATGTGTCTATATAGCAAGTCTGTCGCTGCTCTGACAGTGAAATCCACTTCCCCATGAGACACAGCTCATCTCTTTCCTGCTTCCCGCACTTTATCTGAAGAGGACACAGGCAGGGCAACAAATGTGTTTTCTGGTATTAAATGACAAGAAAACTGGAGTTAATTGAAAGTTACAAAAAAATATGTCACACTGTTGTAAAATAAGTGAACTTCACTGGTTAGAAAAAACAAATTTTTAAAATATAATCTGTGGCATAATAAAAAAAAAATGTGGTCTTTGTCCCCAAGTATTGCACAGAGCTCCTAAAACACTTGGAATTTCCTGAGTAACAGGAGTGTCTTCTGTTATACATAATGGGCCCCCTGCAGACCATACCTGAGTTTATGCTAATGAGTTGACTTACTAGGAGGAGCCAACATAGCTTTAGGATGGGGGCTGGCGGCCAGGGGAACCAACCATATGATTAGAGGGCTGGAACTTACAGCCCCATTTTTCCGGAAGCAGGGAGAGACTAGAGATTGAGTTCAAACACGTGGCCAGCGACTCAATCAGTCACGCCTATGTAATAAAAACCTCAGATAAACATCCTGGACTATGAGACTTGGCGAGCTTCCTGTTTGGTGAACATATCTGAACCAGAAAGGTGGCACCCCACCTCCAACAGAAGTTCCTGCCTGCCCCCTACCTCCACCCCAGACCTTGCCTTATGAGCCTCTACCATTTAGCTATTCCTGAGTTGTATCCTTTATAATAAAACTGCAATTGTAAGTTTAGGACTTTCCTGAGTTCTAGAGAATTATTGCTCCTGAGGGGGCTGGGGAAGGCCTGAATTTGTAGCTACCCAGGCAAAAAGAACAGGTGGTCTGGGGCCACCGAGAACTTCTGACTAGTGTCCAAAGTAGGGGCAGTCTTGTGGGACTGAGCCCCATAACATGTGGGGTTTGTGCTACCTCTGGGTAGTGTCCAATGTGAACTGGACTTCTACTCCGGGAAGATGGGATAGATGTATTTTTCACTCTTCCTCCACTAAGCACAACTAGAACTCTGGACATTACATTTAAACAAGGACTTCGCTGGCGGTCCAGTGGTTAAGACTCCGCACTTCCAATGCAGGGGGTGCAGGATCAATCCCTGGTCTGGGATCTAAGATCCCACATGCCGTATGGTGCAGCCAAAAAAAAAAAAAAGAAGAAGAAGTAGGGTGGGGTAGGTGACTGTCTGCCATGAGAATTAAACATTTAAAACAATAAATAAATAAAACAAACATAAGAAGACTCTGAAAGATGGAGAGACGAAGGCAGACTGGCTAGGGACCTTAGGATCTAGAACAACACAGTGGTGTCACTGGAGATTACATGGGAAGCCTGCATTTCCATCCCCATCTGACACTAATGAGGTCCCCCTCCCTCTCCCCAGGTGGTGGCATGAGAGGACGTCAATGAAGAGCCAGGGCTTTCACCACCACTGCCCAGAGGTTTCAATCAAAGATCATTCATTCATCATATGAAGAACCAGGAAGGTTTTAAATTGAACAAAAAGAGACAATCAACAGATACCAAATCAACATGACAGAGAAGTTAAGATGATCTGACAAAGACTTTAAAGCAGCCACCAGAAAAATGTTTCAATGAGTAATTAAAACATGCTTGACAGAAATGAAAAACTAAATAGTCTCAGCAAAGAAACAGCAAGTCTTAGCAAAGAAAGGGAAGATATAAAGAAGAACCAAATGGAAATTTAATGCAATAACCAAAATTTTTAAACTCAGAGAAGGAAAGAATCAATGAACTGGAAGACAGAACAACAGACATTGCCCAATCTAAACACAGAGAGAAAACAGACTGGGGAAAGAGAAAGGACACAGCTTCACGGACCTGTGTGACTATTACAAAAGACCTAACATTTACATCATCAGAATCTGTGAAAGAGAAGATATTCCCAGCAAGGTCCACGTAACTAGTCACTTTCAAGCCCATCCTCAAGATACTACTCGTACTCACTCCCCTCCGTGACCGTATGATACTATCTGCCTTGCCCAGATCACTCTGGGCTCCCCAGGTTCTCTTTTCCTAACATCTCCTGATCTCCTTTCTCTGCTCCTTATTGTTTAGGACTCAATTCTAAATGGCCTTTCCAAAGAAGTCTTTTTTTGGGGTAATAGATGAGCATTGATGAAAATGATCTAGTTTAAGAAACAACATTTAAAGGCGCTTTCAAAAAGTATATAAGTTAGCATCGGGTTTGGCTAGGTGAAACAAAAAGGCCAAAAAATAGCAGTTTATTTTTTCCTCACATAAAAGAAATCCAGGGTTAGTATGGCAGCTCTGAGTCATCAAAAATTCAGGCTTCTCTTGCTGTTTCAATATCCTAACACTGGTTTCCATCCCCATGATTACCTCATGATCCAGGATAGCTGCGAGTGGTCCAGCCATCTTGTGTGAAGCCCAGGGAGCAGGAAGGAGGGAGGAGAAAAGGTAAAGGAAAGGGATGTGCAGTGGACTGTCCTTATTCTCAGAAGTGTTCCTGTAAGTCCCACCCCATGATTTCCTTTCCCCACTGGCCAGAACTTAATTCATTTGGCCATACCTAACTGCAGGGAATTTGCCCAGTAGTTTTGCTGGGCAAAAAGATGAATGGATTTGGATAAGCATTGACCGGTCTTTGCCACAGGCAGTTTCAAAATGTTTTGAGACACAGTGACTTCCCTGGTCCAGTGGTAAAGCATCCACCTTCCAATGCAGGGGACGCAGGTTCGATCCCTGGTCAGGGAACTAAGATCCCACATGCCGCAGGGCAACTAAGCCCATGCGCCTCAACAAGAGAGCCCACGTGCCACAAACTACAGAGCCCACGCGCACTGGAGCCCGTGCGCCACAACTAGAGAGAGAAAATCCACACGCCACAACTAGAGAGAAGCCTGCGCACCACAACAAAGAGCCCACACTGCAATGAAAGATCCCACATGCCTCAACGAAGATCCCGCATGCTGCAACTAAGAACCAACACAGCCACAAAAGTAAAAGAAAATAAATTTTAAAAAGTGTTTTGAGTCACAAAACATTGATAAAAAAATTGAATAGTGTCCCACGTTGAGAACATAACCAATTACATACTATTATGTTAATGTAAATGGATTAGAGTTGGGGACAGCAGTACAAATTCATGTTTGGTTTAATTTAGATACAGATGAATACATATAGAAATAATCAGTATCTATATATAACACAAGTTAGTATACACACACATATATCTCTTGCTCTGTCATCTGAGAGAGCCTAGCAGCAATGACACCCTAGTAGCAACAAACACACCTAGTACCCAGATCTTGGTTTCTAATACCATTCTCCAATAAAAAGAACAAGGGCTCCTTGGAGAAATGGTTGATTGGTTGATTCTAGGACTGGGACAAGGAAATATATGAAAATGAGTCTGAAGCATCTTTTGGTGCCAGAGTATAAAAAAGTAATTTTAAAAGCGGTGGGGGACCAAAACCACAATATCAGGGATATGTCAATTGGATAAAGGAATCAACTGAAAGAGTTCCCAATGGCAAAAGCTGGAAAAAATGTAAGCAAAAGAAAAAATAAATAAGACAGTATTAGATTATAACCCAAAATATTCATGAATCCATACTGATATAAATAATTAGACAGATAGATAAGAAGAGTCAAATCTCCTGTGCAGGAAAATTCCAAATGATCTGTGCAGACACTCCATCCTTGGGGAAGTGGAGCATAAATTCGCAATCTTTAAGTGTAGCCTAAGCGTGGTGAATTTCTTCCAAAGATGATAGCATAAAGGGAGAAAAAACAGAGTAACTTTATAGTGAAAAAAACTGATAAACATTACCTCAATCAGGTGATCAACAGTGATAAGTCATCCTGATAGCACGTACGCTTGATGTGAATCCATGAGAATGGCACTTTACCTCTGTGACCTTCCTCTCAAAAATGTGTTGCCCCAGTTTCACCACGAGAAAAATATCTGATAAATCCCAACTGAAGGACATTCTACAAAATACCTGACCAGTACTCCTCAAAACTAATAAAAAAAAAATCCAGACCATAAAAAGTAAGGAAAGCTTGAGAAACTGTCATAGCCAAGAGGAGCCTAAGGAAACATAATGAAGAGGGCATGCAGGTATGCTTCAGCGGTTCCTCAAATTGAACATGCAACTTTGTGTATATATCCATTTATAAAACTGCTAACAAGGAGTCTACACCTTTCATCAAATTCTCAAAAAGGGTCTATAACCAGAGAAAGTTAAGAAAACCTAACTCATTCCAGCTTTCAACATTTTATACACATCAGATATAGGATGGGAAGCATCCTCTATCTGGTACAAGGTTTTGGGCACAACTAGTAAAACAGATGCAGTCAGTCAGCTTTTTCAATTTACCTATCAACTTCCTGAGAGAAAAAGAGTGCATCCTGCACACATGGCCACCAGGTTTGAGAATTCTGCTCACTGCCTCTCTGAACACTCCTATATGGGAGCAGAGCCGCCCTCCTTGTCACTGGGCCCTGGCCGATTTCCAGCTAGGTCAAAATCTTCTGGGTCAGCATTTATCAAGTGAGGCCATTAACGGCTTCTTGTATTTCAATCAATGGAAGGGAAATATGTGTGTTAAGGTATCTTTCAAGGATGAATAAGAAGACTGGAGCACTTCACTTTGGTCTGAATGCTTTCCAGTGACTACCAGCCTAACTCGGCGCTTCTCAACTCGGCACTGTTGGTGCCCTGGGCCAGATAAACACTCTGTTGTGGGAGCAGCCCTGTGCTTTGCAGGATGTAGCAGCATCTCTGTCCTCTACCCACGATATGCCAGTAACACCTCCTCTGAGTTGTGACAACCAACAATGTCTTGGGACATTGCCCAAGGTCTCCTGGTAGCAAAACTGCCACCCACTTAGAGCCACTGGCCTAGCTGAAGAAGGTTCCATATGCATGTTTTCTAATGACATTTCCTTTGCATTGTTTGCACATGTCCTTTGCATATTTATGTATTTGAGGCTTCCTGGTTTTAGTAGTATTTAGTTTTAAAGTGATCAGAAAGATATTATGGTGAGTGGAAAGACATCAGAATTCTTATGAGTAGGTGTGAGGTCACCTACACTGCTGTTGACCAGATGGCTAAAATCCTTTCAGAAGGCAATTTGGCGATTTATACCAACTGACACAGTAAACCTACAATCCAGTCTTTTTTAGAAGGAAATAATCCAAAATAATAACTTTTAAAAGTTATATGTATTGATGTCAGGCTAATGTATAATAACCAAAACTTAGAATTAACCTAAATATCCAACTGGGAAATGGTGAATTGAATTTGGTACCTCCACATTATGCAGTATTTAATATTTGGAAACAAAATGGATTTTTAAATACACATAATGCAAGAAAGTAAAAAAATGATTAAAAAATTTAATGGCAACTCCAATTATGTAAAAACTCTATATGAACTTGGACATGGACTAAATAGAAGTAAGTCAAAGAAAAAAGAGGGTGGAGTTAGGGGAGCTGGTTGTCTCAGAATCCCAAAGTTCCTGTGCTTGAGTTATACTGTTGCTATGAAGAAAATAGGAGAAAAATACATAGACTACAACTTTATTTGCTACCCTCTAAACTGGTTTTTACTATCTTACTAATGGGTTCAGCCAAACTTTTAAAAAGTTTATTGCTTTGTTTTGACCACAGAAGGACTCTGATATGTAAAGTGTAGAGTTTTTGTATGTGACTAAAGTCATCAGCTTAAAACAGATTGTCCTAACCATACGCTAGAGATCTAACGTACAGCGTGGTGACTACAGTTAATAATAATGTGTTTTGTACTTGCAATTTGCTAAGAGAGTGGATCTCAAGTGTTCTCACCACAGACAAAAAAAAAAGGTAAAGATGGGAGACTATGGATGGTTAATTAGCTTCACTGGGGGTATCATTTCACAATGTATAGGTATATCAAAACATTATGTTTTTATGCCTTAAATACATGCAATGATTATTTGTCAATCATACTTCAATAAAGCTAAAAAAAAATAAAAGTACTCCATTCTCACTGCAGAAATTTGGAAAGACACTTAAACGTCTCAAGAAAACAAAATGCCCACAATGCCAACACCCAGTGATAAATTATATTAATATTATACCAAACTCCTTTTAGTCTATGAGTTTGACTTAGGTCACTTCTGAGCACTTTTGGAACACATTTTTAAAGGCTTTAGATTATTGATTTAACCAGCACACCTGCACTTTTAAGGTATATTGAGTTAAGTCATTTCTTGCTGAGGAGAACTGCCCTCTTGTATGAGGAGCCCACTGGCTAACACTTCTCCAGGGCTTTCCGAAGCACTGCTGACACTTAAAAAATAAAATACATTATGTCTAAAGGACATGACTCCTAGAAGGGACTGAACCTTTTCCTCAGAGACCTATATGCTCTGTAACAGAAAAGGCCAGTGGAGACTATGCTGCACCCCGTCCACTGCCCTCTGCTTAAAACACGTCAGCCCCCCGAGTGGCACACACTTGATGTGGACACACTTACAGGTCGTAGGAGAACTTCCTCTCCAGGTTGGTCTGGTTCTTCTGAAACTGAAGGACATCCTGCTGCAGCCTGCCGTAATTCTTCTGCAGGGCCTTTAACTGGTCTAAACCGAGAGGAGGACACGAAATCACACAGGGCACCAGCATGGCCAGCCTGACAACAGCAGACACACCAAAACCCACCACGGGAACACAATGGGCCGTGGCACCAACAGAATAAGGAGGGGAAAGAGGAAGGGATGAGAGCACGGCCCCTCCCCAGAAGCCTCCCCACCCCAGCCCTGGAAGCAGCCCAGAAGATGTGCGATCCTATGGGAACCAGCACCTTGATTCCTTTTCACACATCTCTCCTAAATCTCCTTTGTGACCTGCAACCCTTACAATGCACCAGGAGGTTCTATCCACCTATCTCTCTCCTAGACATCATAAACCTTGAACTGTCCCATAAGGGCACACACGCCACTGTGTCTCCTGCCCCCAGAAGACGGATCCCTCGATCTGTGAAACACTAATTTCGACATCCAGTCAGATAAGCAGCCACTCCTGCTGCACCCCCTGTTCTCAGCTACTAGGCTACCTGCCAGCATCCTGTCATTTGGTCACAGCCCAGTTATTCTCTGAGGCCCCATGTGCACTTAGTCACCTGACCCTCCTATCTGGGAAACAACAGCTTTCTTTGAGGAAATCCATCAGCCACATCACTGCTGCCCTGATGACTTGGCTCGGAAAAGCTCTGTAGAAAAAAAGCAGCAGCTCACTGACCAAGAGCCAAGCTGGGGGGTAGAAGGAAAAGCTGCCACAAAGGGGACACCAGAACGGGCCGAGGGCAGCAACGAGGGCCTGAAACACAGCCCTGGACAGACACCTGAGTTTCCCCAAGGTCTGTCCTCACAACCCTAGACCTACAAGGCTCTCTGGGGGGCAGGACGGGGGGGGATCAAATAAATAAAAGTGAAGGATTCGATGAACTGCTGATACACAGAGCAACAGGGATCCATCTCAAAAGCACTTATTTATATGCCATGCTCGAAAAGACAAAACTACAGGGGTGGACAACTGGTCGCTGGGTGCCTGAGGCTGAGGTGAGGGCAGGTGTGGGTGGGGCTTCCTGGAGTGACGGACACGAGCTGTGTCTTGACTCTGGTATCCAGGGGACGGCGCATGTGTCAAAACACACAGAAAGGTACACTGCAAATGGGTAAACTTTATCGTGTGTAAATTATACTTCAACAGACCTAACTTAAAAAAAAAATTCTATAATCAAACTGAGCATGGGGCAATGGAATACTACTCAGCAATAAAAAGGAATGAACTATGGCAGCCATAACAGAACAGATGAATTTCAAAATAATTATGCACATCAAAGAAGCCAGATGAAAAAGGGTATATGCCGTCTGATTCCATGTATACAAAATTATAAAAATTACAAACTCATCTAGAGGGATGGAAAGCAGATCAGAGGGGCCTGGGGAGGATTACCAAAGGGCACAAAGAAACTTCTTGGGGTAATAGATCTGTTCACTGTGTTGATTTTGTGGTGGTTTCTTCAACTGTACGTTTACGTCAAAACTTATGTCACACTGTGCAATTTAAATATGTGTAGTTTACTGTATGTCAATTACACCTGATTAAAGCTGTTTAAAAATACTAAGTACAGCAAAGGCTGCAGGCTGTTGTGCCCTACTTGAGGACTGACCAGCAGATCATCAGCTCTGAGAAGCCCCTGGCAGTCAAGCAACCCATTTAAACAGTGAATCTCTGAGTTTCCCCTACTAATATTCTTAGAAGCTGATCTGGAACTAGAATTCTAGACCAGCACTGCCAAATAGAACTATAATATTATAAACCACACAGGTCACTTAAAATTTACTAGCAACCACATTTTTAAAAAGTAAATAAAACCAGGTGAAATTAATTTTAATAATATATTTCATTTAACCCAACAGATCCAAAATATTACCATGGCAACATAGAATTAATGTAAGAAATTATGAATGAGACATTTTATATTCTTTTTTTCATACTAAGTCTTTGAAACCTGGTGTGTATTTTACAGTTATAGCACATCTCAATTCAGATGTTAAACAGGAATTGGGAATTCTTGATCTGAATTTAGATTTCATAAAATTCACAGTTACAAAGGATATCGGTATACCCAAGTTGTCCCAAAGATACTTAAGTTTCCCAATAACTGAGTCAAGTATCAGTTTTAAATTTAAATTGCTGAAAATTAAACAAAAATTAAAAATCCAGTTCTTCTGTCCCATGAGCCACATTTCAAATGTTCGCTGGCCACAGGGGGCTTGTGGCTACAATTCTGGACAGCCCAGTTCTAGACTGACCTTCCCTCCTTAGAGGTGGAAACTGAGGCTGAGGGCACTGATGGAGTTTAACTAGGGGCAAAGGTGAGACTAGGGTCAGGTCAGGGATCAGAGGCCCCAGTGCTCCTATCATCAGGTTCTTAGACTGCACTGGACCCTGTGACCCCTCCGGTCACACCTCACAGAGGGGCTTCACCCCATCCCTGCCTCCCCCGGCGGCTTCAGAAGGGCCCAAAGAAAAACCTTGGCTGCCAAATTGAATAAGAGTAGCTAGAAAATGGAATTAAAATAGGCTGGATCATTTTTATATAAATTTCATGAAGGAAATCTGATTTCTGGGTGACCTAATGAAAAGAGAGCATACATGTACCATATATATATATATATATATATATATATATATATATATATAAAATAGATCACACACACATATATTTCTTAATGTATCAAAAAATGAGAATCTGAATTCTCTACGTAACAGCTTGCAATGTATTCAGTAAACTTATAAAAGGAAAAGCTCTTTAAGGAAACATAGTTAGGCAAAAAGAGTAAAGATTACCCAATGACTTGTAATACCACCCATCATTAGATTGCACTAAACGACCCTAGAAAAGGACAGAGGAAAGGTGGGTTTCTCCTAAGAGGCCTGATGTCTGGGGGGAGTCGAACTCACCTTGCAAGGTTCTGATGAGCCTCTCGCTGGTGGTGATGTTATTCACTAAAACTGCCTGCAAGGAAGATAATCACATAATGAAACACTGGCAACCTGACAACTCAGAAGAGCCCTGACGAGATTGCGCTTGTGGAAGAAAGGGTGGGGAGCGGCCCCCCTCCCACGCTGGGCTGTGAGCCCTCTGCGCCTGGGGAGGGATAAGCACCTGTGTCCCAGCACCCGCCTGTGACCCGAGCAAGGGGCGGGCAACTCCCCGGCCCTGTTTCAGCTCCGCACCGGCTGAAGCAGCAACTCCGGCCTTTCTCTGGGGTAGCCCAGGTGCAGCCCTGTCTCAGTCAGAAGGCAAACTGAGTTCCAGCCTGGCTGATGGGGAAAAGAAACGGAGGTTCAGCGACCGCTCCGCCTGCAAAGCTTCCTGATCCATTTTAACTTCTGACGTTCTTCCTTCTATCCAGACCCTGCGAGCTCCAAGGATAGAGAGGAACTAACTCCCAGTTAGTTACACAAAGCTGGGAATGCTGACAACAGAGGAGGAAGCAGCAACACAGGCCTCGGGATAACAGTGAACAACAGTAAAAAGTAAGAAAAGTGAGCATGGGGCCAGGTGCCGCTCTGGGCACCCCACATCCATGGCCCCATGGCTTTTCACACCAGCTGTGTGAGGGGGCACAATATGATCCCACTGTAGGGGACAGGAAATTGAGGCACAGCTGGCTTTAAAGACTCAAGGTCACGTGGCCTTCTCAAGAGCAAACAGGCAGAGCCCAAGCCCAAGCCCGGCAGGCCTGCCCCAGACACGGAACTCTTCCTTACTGCATACTTGCCAAAGCGTGGTGTGAACCCCAGCAGGACAACGATCCCGTGACTGTACCCGGTGCAAAAGCAAACAAGCACCTGAAGAGGGGACCGGAACGTTAAATACCAACACGCACCACACAGGTAAGTGATATTCTCTGGACACACACACAGAGGTGCATACTGGGCCATAACATGGAAGTTTCTTACTGTGTCATAATCAAAAAGGTTTTGTCAACCTGCTGGCCGTAACTTGGAGACAGGCTGCTGTCTCATTCCTGGGTAAAGGAGAACAATGACAACCACGCCGCCTTCACCCTTCTGTGCCTCTGTTTCCTCTTGGGCCTCTCCGTCCGGCCCTCCGTCCTGGATGGAGCTTTCTGGAGGAAGGTGTTTCTAGGGGTGAATGCCTAGCTGTGAAATCTGGCCAAATGATTCTGGTGTTTATTTCAGGAGGTCTGAGCATGTGGAACATTTCCTGGCACAACAGGAAAGAAGTCACAGTGATACTACCTGTACAGTTAATCTCTCATGGAGAGATCATCAAGAAGAGTGTTTATGGATATTCTGCGTGGGCCAGCGGGGAATCAGATTCACACAGCTCACAGGTCCTGCTACTCTCAGAAAAGGTTTGCACACATTCAATTACAAAGGCAAAAAATCGCCCTAAGACACAGCGGTCCCACTTTGGGGTATATATTCAAAAGAACACAAAGCAGGATCTTGAAGAGATATCTGCACCCATGTTCACAGCAGCACTATTCACACTAGTCAAGAACTGAAGCAACACAGGTGTCCCTCAACGGATGAATGGATAAAGAAAATGTGGCATATACATACAGTGGAATAGAACATGGCCTTTAAAAAGAAAGAATGTCACATGCTACACCACTGGTGAACCTTGAGGACATCATGCTAAGCCAGGCACAGATGGGCAAGTACTGTATGATTCTACTCACAAGCAGTGTCTAAAGCAGATGGAATCATGAAAACGTGAAGTAGAAAGGTGGCTGCCAAGGGTGGGGGAGCGGAGGTGGGGAGGGGTAAGTGGTGGGGATGGACTAGGGTTTAATGGGCGTAGAGTCTCAGTGTTGCAAGACGAAAAAGTTCCAGACATTTGCAGCACAACAATATGAATATATTTAACACAACTGAATTGTACACTTTAATTTCCACTTTGCATGGGTATCAAAACCACCTTGCCTCTGAACAACAGTGCTGAAACAGAACAGAAAAATAAAAGGATTAGAGATATGTAAATCAAAACTACAATGAGATATCATCTCACACCAGTCAGAATGGCCATCATCAAAAAATCTAGAAACAATAAATGCTGGAGAGGGTGTGGAGAAAAGGGAACACTCTTGCACTGCTGGTGGGAATGTGAATTGGTTCAGCCACTATGGAGAACAGTATGGAGGTTCCTTAAAAAACTACAAATAGAACTACCATATGACCCAGCAATCCCACTACTGGGCATATACCCTGAGAAAACCATAATTCAAAAAGAGTCATGTACCAAAATGTTCATTGCAGCTCTATTTACAATAGCCCGGAGATGGAAACAACCTAAGTGTCCATCATCGGATGAATGGATAAAGAAGATGTGGCACATATATACAATGGAATATTACTCAGCCATAAAAAGAAACGAAATTGAGCTATTTGTAATGAGGTGGATAGACCTAGAGTCTGTCATACAGAGTGAAGTAAGTCAGAAAGAGAAAGACAAATACCGTATGCTAACACACATATATGGAATCTATGAAAAAAAAATGGCATGAAGAACCTAGGGGTAAGACAGGAATAAAGACACAGACCTACTGGAGAACAGACTTGAGGATATGGGGAGGGGGAAGGGTAAGCTGGGACAAAGCAAGAGAGTGGCATGGACATATATACACTACCAAACGTAAAAGAGATAACTAGTGGGAAGCAGCCGCATAGCACAGGGAGATCAGCTCTGTGCCTTGTGACCGCCTGGAGGGGTGGGATAGGAAGGGTGGAAGGGAGGGAGACGCAAGAGGGAAGAGATATGGGAACATATGTATATGTATACCTGATTCACTTTGTTATAAAGCAGAAACTAACACACCATTGTAAAGCAATTATACTCCAATAAAGATGTAAAAAAAATAATAAAGGAAAAATAAAAGAAGCACTTAAATGATTACATGCTGATAATCTCGAAAGCCGATCTCTCCTGGGCAAATCATTTCTACAACAATTATGGCAATCTTACTTGCCCCTTCTCCACTCATTCCCCTCAGCCCCACCCAAAAACTCCTTATTAGAGTTTGCAACTGCCTGAGGGCTTAGGAATTGCTGCAATTTGAAACATCTGAAGATATTTCTGTCTCCCATGTGACTTTATTCTTCCAAACAAAATACATTTTAGTTATCTTCCCCCACCTACTTAAAGATGCATGGAAAAATACAGTCTCCACGTAAGTAAATGAGAAAAGAACCATAAAATGCCAGCAAGATCTTTATATATGCAGTTTTAAATTTATTGAAAATCTTGAATCATTTTTAGGAAAACACTTCTAGCTTTTTTGGGGGGTTCAATATAAAGGAAAAAAACACCTGCATTAAACAAAATTATTTTAAAATGAATTACATATTGTACTCTAAACAACCCAGTTGACTTTTGCATTTTGGTGCAGAGTGACTGGGGGAGTTGTACTTCCTGGTGTGTGTGACCCGTCCCCTGGAAACTCTCAGCAGCAGACAACGAAGTGCCACCAGAGTTTAACTGGACACTAAGCTCAGAACACCTCGGAATGAATCACCAACAAACAAATGTATTATAATCATTCTATTCCAGGCAGGAAATAAGTATATTTGATCAAACTATTTCTCCATTAGATTCCTAACAAAATAACCTCAACATGTCATAGTAAATTTCCAAAGCAATAAATCTACAATCGATTATCATGTTCTGAAAAGCTCAATAAGACACAAATGACTAAATTTGTTAAAATGCTAACTTTTGAAAAGCTCACTGGAAGTGTGAGGCTCATCACGTTATAGAAAAGAGAAGGTGACCTTTATTGATGTGTTTGTTTGGCTCATTAAAATAACCAACCTGCTTTGAAGATGTGGGTCCATCTTAAGCCTTACTAAAGACGACCTTCAAACAATCTAGCCCTTGTCAACCCACCGGCGATCAGGTGCCTGGATAACTTCTTTGTAATGACGTTCCTGTTAATGCTCTGGGAGATGAACCTCAAAAAGAATTTAACCTTTGTGACCGGTGAATGACGTTAAGAATGAAGGGAAGAATATGAAGTATGCATGGGAGTTTTCTTTTTACTCCTCACCAATTTCAAAATCTCCCAAAGCAATGCTACCCAAGGGAAACATAGTGTCAGTCAGATATGGGAATTTTAAATTCTCTAGCAGTTACATTAAATTAAGTAAAAGAAACAGGTGAGCAAAGGGTTTGAATAGACATTTCCCCAAAGAAGATACACAAATGGCCAAAAGTACATGAAAGATGCTCAGCGTCATTAGTCATCAGAGAAATGCAAATCAAAATGAGAAGGTACCACTTCACAACACTAGAATGGCTACAAGAAAAACAAACAAACAAAAGGAAAATAACTACTACAAGGATGTGGAGAACGTGGAACCCTCAGACCCAGTTGAGGACAATGTAAAATGGTGCAGACACCATGGAAAACAATTTGGCAGCTCCTCAAAAAGCTGAACGGTTATCATATGACCCAGTAATTCTACTGCTAGGTATACCCCCAAGAGAACACATGTCTACACAAAAACTCTAAACTGGAAGATGTCCAACTTGAAGATGAGGGAAGCAGGGGGAGAAGAAAGGGGAAGAGGGGAGAAGAGGGGAGGGGAG